TTTGTTTCATTCAGCACTTAACCATTCTGACCCTCTTAGCCATTCTAACCTCTTAGCTATTCTGAACTAAATCATTCAGCAACTGCCAAACAGCCCCTAAATCCATATAGATGTTTCAACTACGTGCATTGATTTCTTAAATGTCTTCTCTTTTGTTATCTATAAAAAGAGAATAGCAAGAAAAACAAAATATAATGGTTTCGTTTTCTTCGACTTTCATGTTTAATCGTAGGCGTACTTTTACATCCAACTATCCTTTGCTGTTAAAACTTCGGATCCAAAATTATGCTCAGATACCCTCAACGCTAACCCATCCACCGTTGATGCCGCAACTCCTTATGACCTCGGATTAGCATCACTTGGTTTAGCAACTGCTAAAGCGAGTAGCACTTACGAGGTGCTCTCAATCATAATCCAGCTTATAAAATATGTGATCGCGATTAACAATTTAAAACCGATGAAGATGTATTTGTTCATCATAACTATATGGATGTGCGAAAACATTCGCTAAATACACTTTAGTGCAATTATTGATTGTGGATATCTCAGATGTTGATATATATATATATATATATATATATATATATATATATATATATATATATCTTCATTGCATTGCCATGCCAAATTCTTGGTAGAAACATTAGTGGTGTATGTTTTTCAACTTACCTTCCAAGTGTTTTGATTCAAATAAAACAAAGTTTTTGCCATGCTGTTAATTCATATGAATTTGTTATAATTCCAAGGTATTACTAAAAAAGATATTATTCTGATTTGATGTATAAAGCATCAATCATATCATTTATCATTAATTAGAAAGAAAAAGAGATGGTTAAACACAATAGTCAATAGTTTGTATTGTAATGTTATTTTTATAATTTATATTTTTTCATAATTTCACATCAACCAGAAATTGAAATTCCGAATTCATTTCATAAAGACCCACCATTCCAAGAGAATACGTTTGAAAAATATAATATAACTTGCAAAGATTTTATATTATCTAAATTAAATATAATTGTGGTGGAGTTAGGTTGGCACAGTAGCTTGAAAAATGTCCTTTTGGTTGGTTTGGTTTTAATTCATAAAAGAATTAAAATTATCCATTTGCAAACAAACATCATCATCATCATCATCTTGTGATTGAGACCTCAGGAACTGGAAGTGAGTGCAAAAAAATCATGTTTTTTGGTTCAACTATGAGAACTGGGATGGGAGTAACCAACATCAAGAATGTGCAACAGATGTTCATTGTTCAATGGTTTCAAGCAAACCATATATACAAAGGAACCTCAGTTTCATTAAGAACCTAGGGACCGCCCACGATGCTTCACGTGATATATTCATCATGAATTGAATGTGTGATTCATGACGTCCAAATCCAATCAAATCCCACAAACCAAACGGGATCTTATATTATATGATAGGTTTTTATAGCAATATATATATATATATATATATATATTTCTTCTCTGGATAAAGCTTAAAACTTAACTAGTTTTCTAACAACTTTACATGATGGGTTGGGTTCCGGTGAGAAGGGAAGTTACGATGAGAAGCATAATAAGGGGTCTTCAACCTTGGATCAATCCCAATTGAATGTCAACATTAATGAGATGCACCCAGGTGTACCAGATCAATTCCCTTTTAAAGCACAATTCATGGGTGTACAGTGGACATGAGATTAAAAGTGATCAGTGGTTCAGATCTCTTCTTACGCTTCTCACTATAACTTTCCTTCTCACACGATCCTTCGCCTTATTCGATAATGGGAAGAGTAACAAGCCTAGCTTTTATGAAAACTCTGAATCTAGAAAGTAGCCAACCCACCACAGATAGTAAATTCAATAGCAGGATCATTGATCCACAATTTAGAGGGTACTTCAAACCCAATACAAATAAATGAAAGAACTCCATGTTTTTAAAAATCTGACACCCAAATAAATAACTAAGCTGCACACATGAAGCTTTTATTCAAAAAACTGGACACATTTCATCTAATTAATACAATTCTTCCACCAGACATAGATAGAAAGAAACATAGCAGATATACGATATAAAATAAGGTAGAAAAATATAAACTAACCTCCGTTTCAGAAAATGATGTCCTCGTCTTTTTGGGTACCCGCTAGCAAGTTATGGGCAGCGTCCATGGAGATTCCTTTCTGTAAAGAAAGGTTCTCAGCAACTTGGTCTTCCGCAAACTGCTTAGAATTTAGCATCTGCCTTTCAACCTCCCTCTTTTTGAAAGCTTGTATCTTCTTCAACCTAAAGAAATCCTCCCTCTCCAATTCATCCAGCTCCCCTTTGATGTAACTTATCGTATTCTCTAACCTCGGTTTAACAACGCTCTCTAGGGCATTCACCCTACGATTTGTAGTCTTGATTGCCTCATCAAGTGTTAAAAATGATGTTTGAAGAGATGCTAGCTCCACCAGAACCTCGATTGCTTTCACATATGCAACCTTACAACCTTGCACTTGTTGCCCACCTCTTGATAAACCAGTCAAATCGTTCTTCGTCTCTGCTTCGGTGAAATACTCAAACTTGGGGAGCTTAACACCTGCGACATTCTCTGTACGTGACCTGACTCTGAGAGATGCAGTCTTCACATTTTCAAGAACGGTATACTTGATGTTGTCACCAGCCACATACTTTGCCTCGGTTAAAGCAAAAGATGATGATTTCATAATGGTTCCCATTGATTCTTTTGTTGACACAATCTTCTTGAGAATGGCTCGGAACTGCACTGTCAAAGCATCACTCTTCTTCTTCAGAAGAGCATGGCCTCTGGTTGCACCAACCAGACGAGCCTTGATAACTCCAAGCACTGTAACAGTTGGAACAACATTCAAACGCTGCCCCTGCCCAGACATCTTGTCGAATATGTAAACCTGTGAAAAGAAAGAACAACCAAATATGTCATTAGTCGTTACACCATGATGTTTGGAAAGGATGGGTTGACTTGATTGAAGAAAAATATGAAATCAACCATTGAGATAGTTTGACCATTGTTGGCTGATGCACCCCAGATTTGAATGCTAAGGCTTTTGGATTAGATTTCAAATGATTTTAGGGCCAATTCCAGTATTCAAGAGACTGGATACTCTCACCAATTTACTAACATAATTTGATACAATACCTGCAAATTAGCTACTTTATTTATACTCTAACGCAAAACAGAAGGTAGAAGCGGAACATATCCCCCTAACCGAAATGGGAACACCACTCCGCCAACTTCCATTAGATGTTGCTAACTTAATTATTCCCCCCCTTTTCCCCTCCTTGTGTAGGTGAATAAGACTGGGGATCCATCCATATGCTGGTTCAACATTTGGAATTTTGGAAAACTGCTGAACTGACCTTCACCTAAGACACTTCCGTTTATAACTGACAAAGTATTAACATGATAATAGGTCATATCACCCATTTAAACTCTTGAAACATTGTTACACTATAGTCCTTCCCTTCAACAATTTTTGGGTGTTCCAATCACAACTCTTATCATGGGGCTAACCATCTCATTGATCTTATTGAGGCCCAAGCATTAAAGAACATCCTTACTTAGCACCACATGACCAAGAATATTCAGCATACTGACAATTCCCCTTCATATATTGCACAGGCGGCACTATATCTATTTGTCATTGACATGCTTAGTTCAAAGCCTTAAACTTTCACTTGCCCTAGACGAAGCAACTTCCACCGATTGCCTTTCCAAATTGGAGCCAATCAGTTCAAAAATTTAGTGAACTAAAATTCTGGTTATATAACTCAAATCCCATCCTCCAAAATGCTACAATGGTTTATTTCTCAGCAAACTAGTAGTATCTATTTGGATCTCAAGCTTCTAAGGGATTGAACCACAACAAAAAAAATCCTTTTGGCTAACAAAATAAAACCCAAATTGTGGAAAAACTAGGCTAACCAAGCTTATTTATTTATAAAAGAGGGTGTGGCCCATCTAGCATCATCATTTATTTATTTATATATATAAATAAAAGGATTTCCCGATTACATCGGAAACAGAAAAGGACCCTTGGCGACCATTGGATCTTCTTCTTKTTAAATTATAAGCTAAATCATCCTAGGAGACTATGGCCGTTATATTCGTYAAGGTAKTTGAYGGTTACCTTATTCYMRCCAAAACTGTTTCTGAACAGTTGCATCTCTTTGAAGGGTCACAACGTTTCATTTTAACTGTTTTGTTGTCCTTATATAGTTTGTTTCTTCCTTCATTGTTTATGTGTTGTAATAATCAACAGATATTCTTTACTTAATAAAAGATATATCTATGTGTTGTGTATATGATTTACCATCAAATGGTATCAGAGCTTAGATCGCATGGCATCTAATCTGTTGAATAATCTACAAACTCAGTCACAAACCCAACTGCCGAAGTTAAATGGAAGAAATTACTTCCATTGGAGTATTCAAATGAAAGTCATGTTTGAATCTCAAGACTTGTGGCAAATCATCGAAGAAGGATTGCAAGAGCCTGAAAATCCTACTGTCTTAACTGCACCACAGATGAGTGCACTCAACGAAACAAGGAGAAAAGATAAAAGGGCTTTGTTCTTGATTTACCAGGCAGTAGATGACAACATATTTGAAAGGATTTCTTCATCGCAGACGGCCAAGGAAGCCTGGAACATGCTGTTCAAGTCTTACAGAGGCGAAGAAAAAGTAAAGGTTGTAAGACTTCAAACCTTGAGATGTGAATTTGATAACCTCAAAATGAAAGAAACAGAAACAGTTGAAGAATATTATACAAGAGTAATTGTACTGTTGAACCAAATGAGATTAAATGGAGAAAATATTGATGATAGGCGAGTTGTTGAGAAGATACTTCGCAGCCTCACCCATAAATTAGAATACGTAGTCGTTGCTATAGAAGAATCTAAGGATCTAACAAATTTCTCTTTGGAAACACTGTTGGGTACTTTACAATCGCACGAATTGCGCATGAAGCAGTTTGATACAACTGTGATGGAACACGCCTTCCAAACACAGTCCTCCTGGGATGCAAGTACAAGTGCAAGGCAAAGACCAGTGGAGACAAACAGAGAAGAACAAGGCTATGCAGTCTCCAAAAATAAAGGAAAAGGTAAACCATTTTCTCCAATAAAATGTTTTTATTGTGACAAGTTAGGACATACTATTAAATTTTGTAGAAAAAGGTTAGCAGAGGAAAATAAAACCTCTAATTTTATGCATAAGGAGGACAGTCACAATGATGATACGATGTTCATGATGCTTAGCATACAAGAACCAATCTTAGCAACCTTTGGTATTTGGACAGTGGTTGTAGTAACCACATGACAGGAAATAGAGAATTGTTCCTGAATTTGGAAGAATCAGAGAAAAAGGATGTCAGAACAAAATTAAGTGTGCATGGGAATGGAGATATAGCTATTAAAATGACAAAGACAAGAAGATATCAAATGTTTTTTTTGTGCCTGGTCTTAAACACAATCTGTTAAGCGTAGGACAACTCATTCAAAAAGGTTATAGCTTACAATTTAAGGATAGATTGTGTGAGATTACAGATTCAAATAATTCTGTAATTGGAAGAGTTGCCATGACCACCAACAAGATGTTTCCTATTAAATTTGATGATGATACTTTTTTCTCCTTATCTGTCAGCACCAAAGAAATCTCTTTATTATGGCATAAAGGTTTGGACATGTGAATCTCAATACCTTGTCCCACATGCACAAGAATGATATTGTGAAAGGATTACCATCTGTTGCTCCTCTTGCACAAATATGTGAGGGTTGTGCTCTTGGTAAACAGTCCAGGGAATCATTTCCTCATGATAAGGCATGGAGAGCATCAAAACAGCTTGAATTAATCCATACTGATATATGTGGCCCTATGAGAACCCCATCCGTTGGTGGAAGTAAATACTTCCTTACCTTTATAGATGACTTTAGTAGGAGAATTTGGATATATTTTTTAAAGGAAAAATCAGAAGCCTTTACATGTTTTCTCACTTTCAAGGCTATGGTTGAAAGACAAAGTGAGTTGAAAATTAAATGTTTAAGGTCAGATAGAGGGGGTGAGTACATTGGTCATGATTTTGAAGAATATTTAAAGAGCAATGGCATCCACCATCAACTAACTGCCAGCTACATACCCCAGCAAAATGGGGTGGCAGAAAGAAAGAATAGGACCCTAGTTGAGATGGCTAGATGCATGCTCAAAAGTAAAAACCTTCCTGATGTATTTTTGGCAGAAGCAGTCTCTTGTGCTGCTTACTTGATCAACAGGTCATACACTAAAAGTCTTCCAGGAAAGACTCCTCAAGAAGCCTGGAATGGCTTCAAACCTAGTGTCAATCATCTAAGAACCTTTGGGTGTATTGCATATGCCCATCTAAGAACCTACTCGTACTCTCCTGTCCTATGTTGTTAATATCGCGATATATCGGCGATATATCGGATATCGGACCTAGGCAAAATATCGCTGCATAAATATCGGTCAAAATATCGTCCCCGATATTATCGGCGATATTTTTTCGATATTTAGCGATATTTTGATGTATATATCGGATCGATATATCGATTTTTAGGGTTCAATTATTTGGGCTTTTGTTATTTCATGGGCTTAGTTTTTTGGACTTGGTAACATATATTATTAGGTCTGAAATTAATAGTCTGCCTTCCAACGGTCTTCTTCCTTTCTTTTCATCTTTACGAGTTACGACTTCACAGACACCTAGTTCACTTCACGAATCACGACTTCAGACTTCTCACAACTTCAGACTTCTCACGGAGTCACGGTTTGGCTTCTTTTCTCGGATGCCGAACCTATTGCTTGCGATTAGCTCGTTTTTGAACACTTTAGATGATGTGATGATTTAATTTTGAAACTATATTTCTAAACTCTAATTAATGCATATTATATATATATAATTCTAAGAAATATTATGTTAACCGCTATTTTGGACCGACATATCACCGATATAACCGATATATCGAATATCGGTCCTGACCGATGTTTTGTATTCTGACCGATATAACAGCATAGCTCCTGTCTTCAAATTAATTGGGTATAGTGATAGTGATTATGGAGGCTGCTTTGATGATAGCAGAAGTACAACAGGTTACATATTTTCTCTAGGAACAGGTGCAGTATCGTGGCAGTCGAAGAAACAAAAGGTGGTAGCTTTATCTTCCACAGAAGCAGAGTATATGGCACTCTCTTCCACAGGATGTCAAGCTTTATGGTTAAGAAGTATTTTGGAAGAACTGGGCATTCCACAAGAAACTCCAACACAGATTTATTGTGACAATAAATCTGCAATTGCACTCACCAGGAATCCCGTTTATCATGGCAAGAGTAAACACACAAGGGTAAAATTCCATTTCATTCAGGAACTCATCCAAAATGAAGAGGTTGACGTTGTATTCTGTGTTTCAAAAGATCAACTAGCAGATATCTTTACAAAGTCTTTGCAGTGTGGAACTTTTATCAAATTGAAAAGGGATATAAGGGTGGATGATGTATAGATTATGGGAGGATTTGAAGAAGGATGATGTTTAGCTTATGGGAGGATGTTAAATTATAAGCTAAATCATCCTAGGAGACTATGGCCGTTATATTCGTCAAGGTAGTTGACGGTTACCTTATTCCCACCAAAACTGTTTCTGAACAGTTGCATCTCTTTGAAGGGTCACAACGTTTCATTTTAACTGTTTTGTTGTCCTTATATAGTTTGTTTCTTCCTTCATTGTTTATGTGTTGTAATAATCAACAGATATTCTTTACTTAATAAAAGATGTATCTATGTGTTGTGTATATGGTTTACCATCACTTCTTCACCAACATTAGCAACCACTAGCAGTAGTTCTTTATAATCATCATCACCGGGTAATCTTCCTCTTTATCTTCTTCGTTTACCATAGTTTCCACATTTTGGGTTTTGATTTTGTTAGCCAAAAGAATTGTTTTGTTGTGGTTCAATCCCTTAAAAGCTTGAAAGCCAAACAAATACTACTAGTTGACAGAGAAATAAACCTTTGTAGTATTTTGGAGGATGGGATCTCGGTTATATAATCAAAATTTTAGTTCACTGAATTCAAGTTTTCATGTATAATCACCCACATTTTCAAACTATCATACCCAAAACCACTTGTATTTGTACCATATAACATATATGTATGATTTGCCAATATTTTTTCATGGTTTTGATTCTAGACTCAATGTGCGGGGTTTAGCTAATATATTAGAATCAGGACGTGAAACTTTTAATCCATAAAATCGTACTATTACAAACCATATTATCCTCAAATTTACCTTGAACCATTTCCATCTTCGATTAGTAGTCTTCAAGAACAAGTTTGGGTTTCTTAAGTAAATGTGGATGCAATCTATTAAGCGCATTGCAAACTCGAGTACAAAGTCTACTAATTATTCCCCCCGAACAATGAAAACGACATGTGACAACCTTATTCTTAACATTAGGAGCAACCATGTGACGGAAAATGGCAACTTGTTCATCGACATCCATATTCCTAGTTGCTCGTAATCTTCCTGATCTTTCAAGCATATCACAACATTTTGAAACACATAAGATCCATCCTAAGTTATGATATGCACATGGTGTCACTATCATAGGCATACCTATGCAATATTGCAGATTTGACAACAAATATCAAATACTTGGTCTATCCCTTCTATGTTTGGCTACTAAACAGCAAACTGTAATGAAAAACCAAATAAACAGTGCTMATAGCTTCAACGAAAAACAATCTAATAACCCTAAGTTTGCATGTTGTGAGACTAAGTCAGGCTATTTCCTGTATATAGACCGCATAAGAAATAGGTTATTACAAAGGATTCAGCATCCCTAATGCAAAAAAAAAAAATGGAAGGGTAATTCATCTGTTGATGCACATACAGTTAACAACTTACTAAACCCAAATTTAACATGAAAAGGGTAAGCATGAAAGTCTACTGCCCTTTTAACATTGAACAACTTGCTAAGCCCAATTTTAACATTTAGCAGATTCATGGCAAATTTAACAGCAAGCACAAAACAGATTTGTAAACAAGCAGCAAAGCAGTAAGCGTGTAGTTATTTTGCATTCGCAAAACACATTTGGAAGTTATTTTGCACTGACATAACAGATTTGTAAACAGATGTATCCACAAAACAAATTCGAAAATTAATTTGCATTAAAAAAAAAAGATTTGTAAGCAGATGCATTCAGAAAGCAGAAATCGAATATAGAAATCGAATCCATGTGCAGCAGAAATCGATGGAGTAGAAAGCGAAAGCATCTGTAGTTGTGGAGCAGAGATATAGAAACAAATACAAGAATCGAGCAGAGATCGAACAGAGACATTGATGGCAGAAGGAAATAGTTAGATGGAACCTGTGGTGAGTTGGTGGCGCAATGGAGAAGATGAGAGAGTAGAGTGCAGAGAAGAAGAGGAAGGGATCAATCACAAGAAATACAAATCCCAGCACTCGGCTCGGATCGGTTTTTAGATGAGAAATTTTACCATCATCGTTGATCAGGCTTAGGGTTAGGGGTTGGATAAAACCAAATAATTACGTCTTTATTTTAGCTTATTTTAAAGTAATTATCTATTTTTGAAAATAAAAGGTTTATATTCCCATTTTATTCCTAGACTCTTTACAACTAAAAGTAAAATTCTTATTTTTTTCAACCGAAAAATATAATAATTAAATATTTTTAAAACTTTATTTTAGGTTGAAACTATTTCTTTTTACATCAAATCATAAATTCTACAAGTATCTTCAACATATTCTTTAAAGTTGAGAAAATAAAGATTTTGCTTCAAAATAAATTATAAGATATAACATGAAAATTCTTTAAATTTGGATATCAATGATGCCTGAAATCAACCTGGTCTTTTATACAAACAAGAGAAAGTTATGACATATTAAAACAAGACAGAAAATGTGAAATCTTCAATCATCATTCACCAAAACTCCTTCAACTTTTGCAACTTTGAAGTCATACAATTTTCTCCAAACTTATGTTTTCAGATATTTCCCTTTTCATACAAAATGATTAGGTCATTCAAACACTCCAAATTCCAATTTTAACAAGACTCCATCCCAAGTACTTGCTAAAGCCTAAAAAATTAAAAAAAATAATTCACTAATAACAAACCTTGAACTAAAATACTAAATGGCAGCCTAGAGATTAAAGAACTAATATCGAAGATTCAAAAAGACTTTGACAAATCAAGTTTTTAGTCTGACAACGATAATGAAGCAAGCAAAATTGAGCATTCTACACTATAAACACAAGTCATAAAGAATTTTTGCAATTCTATTAGTAGCAGTTATAGGATCAGTTGAACACCAATTTCATCTAAACAAGAAGGAAGTCCTTCATTTAGGGGTGTTTGGGATTGCTTATTTAAGACAACTTGTGCATTTTTGTAAAAGTGCCTATTAACTTATGTGGTGTCAAACGGAGTTCTATAAAAAGTGTTTGGATTAGCTTATGCCGGTACCAAAACACAATAAGCTGATAAGTTCTTTTCTAGTGTTTGGCAAATTTGAGGGTAACACAATCTCCAATTCCGTCAACTGCACGACCGAGAAAGTCAAATCCAGGGCCGAGGTTGGCTACAGTGCCAAGGGCAAAAGACTTGACGCAAGTTTAAACAGGTTCAGGTTCAAGATTTCTAGTGATGGATTTATTGCAGCGGAAAGAGGATGGGAGATGAAGGTGGGACTTGTCTGAAAGGTTAGTAGTAAACGGAGAAGAAGAAGAAGAGATGCCGAATTGAGGTTGATGATGGCAAATCGCCATTTTTACTGCAGAGAAATTATGGACTGATTGGCATTTCAAGAATATGGTAGATTGAGAATGAAAATCAGCTCACCCAAAATTCAATCCCTGTCCACCAGATACATTATTACCCTATTGAAAAGAGAGAATAGAAAGATAAATTAAATAAATGTATATTAACCAAGGGAAGTTTGGTAGATGATGAATGATTAAGAGAGACTGTCTATTGTAGTGTTGAATGAAAAATGGTTGAACGGAAGCAATGAATCTCTCTTACAGCTGTTGTTAAGCATTAGTTTTTGACAAGGAAAAAGAATTTATGATATTCAAACAATAAAAATGGGAAACTTACCATTTCGACAAAGAACAAAAGCTACCTTCCTCATTGTCATGGCTCTTTTCCTAAACCCTAACTTGTAAACTCAATCTAACCTCAGTAAATCACCTACTATAGGCTGAATTCAAGTAAACTGGTTCATATATACCTAATTTCAGCTCTTTGGACTAAGCATTGGCCACCTCCATGTGTTTCTTTCGAATAGAGCATATGTGAGATTTAGAAACAAACGGCAATCGTTGAAAGTGATGCCCTCCGAATGATACACTCTAAAACAATGATGTGTCTTATTTTGATTGGTGAGAGAGAGGGGCCATGAGGGTTTGATGCTTTTCACATTCGTAAATTGAAACACAAAAAGCTCTTCTCTTTCAATGCCACATGATTTCACACATTTTATTAAAAAAGTTTAATGCTTTTTTGAGTTTTTTTATCCATAAACATATACAAAAAGACTAACAAAATGTAACAAAAAACATAACCGTACCAATCATGAATAAAAAACCATATTGTAGGTGTTATACAAAATCTAACTACTTCAAATATGCAGTAGACAAAAGATTAATCATTATAAAATGCCTGTTTAAAACGAATGAAATATTGAGCTAAAAATACCAATGCAAACTTTGAATTCAATAGATACTTAAAAGTTGACTCTAATCCAATCTATCTACTTATAGATAGCAATCATCATAAAGATCATCTGGCCATACTCTATAACTGCATATTTGTTGTCTTTATTGAACATAATTAGAACTTTTTTGCATAAAAGGTCTTGTACAGAAGCTGGTCAACTCAATAATCAATACATCAAGAACAGTGGTTATATGCAGGATTACAACTCTTTCTTGTCTCAATCTCCTCTAAAACCAAAGAAAGTCAAGTGGATAAACAAACAAAAATTAGGTCTAAAATTGTTTCAACTTCAATTCCTACTTGAAGCTCTCAAAAGTCAAAAGATTACTACTTTAGAAGCATTGGGTACAACCTAAGATCATAAAAATGAAGGACTCTCATTCCCATCTTTCAAAAGAATCAACAACATCACAATTTCTATAGTTCTTTATGTTAGTTTAATCGTTGATCTATTTCAAAGTTAAAGATATTGATATTCTACAAATCAAAGAAACTACAGTATACCAATATCAACATTCACATTAAGTAGTAAAGAACATCAAGTCGGTTCCACAAGATCTAGTTTCGTAGGAAAAAACATCGACCAAAAACAGGAGCCAAAACATCGACCAGACATAACAATAGCCAAAACATCGACCAAAATCGATTCAGAAAACAGTAGCCTAAACATCGATCAAAATCGATTCAGAAAACAGTAGTTGGGACAGTGATTCCTTCTACAATAGCATAAATCGATGGGTATAGGTTTCAAGGTTCAAGTTTATGGAAATGGGTTTCAAGTTTTAACTTTCTGGAATTGATTTTCATGATTAAAGTTTCTGGAATCGATGGGTTTGGTGTCAACAAGGAGCAGAAATTGGTGGTTTCAAGCCCCCTGTTCATCCTAGGCTTTCGTATGGGCGAAATAATAAAAATGCTTTGAGATCAATTTCAGAAATTACCTAAGAGGATCGATCTTGATGAAGGAAACGAGTAGAGGAGTAGAGAGGGTAGAGCCGGATCTGATGAAGGAGACGAGTTGAGAGGACGAGAGAGATTATGTTTTGTAATTTTAAACACAAAAGGCTTAATTTTACCATCATCGTTGATCACGCTTAAGGCTTAGGGGTTGGATAAAACCAATAATTACCTCTTTATAGAGTTAAATACAAATTTGGTCCCTGTGGTTTGTAAAAATTAACGACTAACGTCCCTCAAAGAATATTTTAACGACCAACGTCCCTGTACTTTCCATTTTATAACAGATAGGGTCCCTGTTAGTAACGGCGTTAAAAAAAAGTATAGTTAAGAAGGGGTAAATTTGTCAATTCTTATTTTTTTAGTTTTGATAACAAAATTGGTGCCGCAAAATCAGGCATTAGAAAACTTTCATCATTTATAACATATTTGGTCCTCTTTAATTTTAAATGACAAGTAAATTTAATTTTGAATTTGATCCTTGTGATTAATAAAGACAAATTAAATAAAAATAGCATATCATAAAATATTTGGTCACTTTAAAAGAAGACATTATATGGCAACAAATAAGAGATKATTTCATATTTCTTTTAAAGAAAAAGCTGCTACAAAAATAACCCCAAATCAACAGCTACAAAAACCAACCTGAAAGCTGCTACAAAAATAATCTCAAAATAGCAACAATTAGCTCCAAAAAGCTAAAAGGGGTAATTACAGCAAGTTTTGAACAAAAGAAAAGCACACTTCACAAGTTAAAGTTCCTGTCCTTTGCATGTGCGTGAGTTGGCCTTGTTTCTTGCACTTTGTACACCTTACAGTTATACCAACCCTTMTAAGCTTCACTCCTGCTTCGGTCAACTCTCCAAAAGACTTCATCCTCTTCTTCTTGGGCCTACCCACTTGGGTGTGATGTGTTGGTGGAATGAGTCTAGTTGGACATTCAAACTTAGCCCACATCTCTCTTCCAGTAATTGGAACAATTTTAAAGGCATACATGGCCTTCCACGTACGCAACAAGTATATTGGGTGAAACCATTTTTCAAAATTATCCACTTTTGCACCAGTATTTCTCATGTCCCATATGGTAGCCATGGCATGTTTGCAGGGAATGCCAGTCAATTCCCATCTTTTGCAAGAACATGTTTTATCACTAATATCTACTACATACTGGTCCAACCAAGGACCATTCACCTCGTACTTGTAGCCCCCATTCCAAATTACGGTGTAATCGATAGCATCTTTCTTCAGTTGTTCCAACACTTTGGTTGCTGTCGGAGTAAGAAGGCCATTAGCTTTGTCAATCACCATTTGGACATTCCCAATTCTCTTCATGAGGTACACTCTTATAAACTCCAAACATGTAATAATTGGCTTGTCCCTTCCATCAACTAGTTGTCGGTTGAATACTTCACAAATGTTGTTCAACACCACATCTGTGTGACTTCTTCCTATAAATGCATAACAAATATAAATTATAGAGCATACATATAGGAGAAATTATAAAGAGCATAAATATATTAACAAAAAAAATCTAATAAAAAATGCTAACTCTTGCCTGTGAAATGAGATCTAGCCCAGTGATGTGGGGGAATCTTCTTCAACCACTCATATAATCCAATATCAAGTTTTTTAACTTTGTCCATCTCCTTGTCAAATTGTGGGATGGTTGTTGCGGTTGCACACATTCATAAATGATCTTTATACAACTTCCCCTTCCAAGTATGTTTCATGTTTTCATGGATGTGTCGTAGGCAAAATCGATGTTCTGCACAAGGGAATACCTTTGAAATTGCAGGGACTATCCCCTATGGTGCAAAACATAAAAAAGTTAGAGAGACAACCTAGAAATCATGTTATACAAAAATACTAAAATGTTATACGAACCTTTTGCCTGTCAGACATGAATGTGAAGTTAGAATTTGCGCTGAGATCCAAGTCATCTCCAAGACATTCTAGAAACCATGTCCAAGAATTTATGGTTTATGCCTCAACAATGGCATATGCAACTGGGTATATACCATTGTTAGAATCAATCCCAACCGCAGTAAGTATTTGACCAGGAAATGGTCCTTTCATGAAGCAACCATCAAGCCCAAGAAAATCTCTCAAACCTGCTTTGAATCCCTTCTTTAAAGCACCTAAACACACATAGATCCTCTTGAATCTCMTTGTGTCAATCGTTGGATTTGTCTCACTTTCAACTTCCAACTTGACTGTAGTGCCTGTGTTTGTCCTCTGYAGTTCAAGTACGTAATCTCTTAAAACATTGTACTGCTCAGCATAGTCTCCTTGAAGCTTAGTTTGTGCCATAATCTTTGCTCTGAAGGACTTTTGGTGTGAAACATGCTGTGAATATTTTCTCTGCATCTCTGTTTGAATGGCTTTAATAGGGATAGTTGGGTTATGAAGTATGGTTTCTGAAAGATGTTGGGCCAAGAAATTAGCTGTGCAAGCTCTCACATACCTAGTTGGAAGACATTTATGTGTCTCCACATAAGTTTTGACCAGCCATGTTTCATCATATTTAC